GGAAGTTTGAATCTCAAAGTTGATCTCTGATTGTTATCATCAATCTTGTTTAAGTTGATAAGGAAAAGATTTTTTGGATCTAATGAATTTTGTGTGCGATTTTATTTTTTTCATACTAAGCATATATTGCATAAGATTTCCTTCTTTGATTGAATTACTTGGGCATTAAAAATTTGTGAGGAAATTTATTTTTGGATGATAAAATCTTATTCTTCCTAATTTTGAATTAGTTGGACACATGTGTTAGTGTGTTAATGGGTTTGTGTGTTCAGTTTTGATGGGAATGTTCTTACTGCATAGTATCCAATCCTTCCCTTGATTTTTAAACCTTACCCATTACATCCTGACATTTTTCATTCATTCTGCCCTCACTATATATCTTCATTGTCGGAACCTGAGAACCCCATTTTCCTTTGTCTTTCTCCATGAATTATTCGTTTAACCATTTGTGTTCCTGCATCATTTTCTAATGTGCTTCTGAAACACTTTGGCTGATGGCAAAAGCCTAGAGAAGAGATGGACAGCATATCAACGACTAGAGATCAGTTCAAGCAACGTCTTGTCTTCGGTCATCTTTATTTTTCTCATTTGCTGTTCTTACTCAGGGGGAGATTTGCCTTTGGCATTTCAGTCTAAAAAGGGGGAGAAATAGGATGTTTCTGAAGATGTTCGGGATTATGTTCTAGTTGTTTGCTTCTGATTAATTGTGGTTGTTGTTTTTGACATGTTTCTACAGGATGTAAGAACATGTATGTTTTGCTGTTTGATTGTTTTGTCTATTTTGACAGGGGGAGATGCATTGGTCACTCTATTTGACTTAGGTTCTGATATCTTGACGTGTTTTGATTGCTCTGATCATAGTCCTCATAGTTGTTTTGATAGGAACTGTTATGATGTTCTTACATTGCAGGTGTTTGAGTAGTTTACTTCCTGATGTTCGAACATAGATAATTGCTTTGCTGTTTTGAGTTTATTTTGTAGGTTATCTTCAAGAAACACGGTTTTCGAACAGAATGCCAAAGGGGGAGATTGTAAGAACATTGGTTTGGCATTATGTCTGACAAACCTAAGTGTTTTTTAGAAGACTTCTTGTTAAGCAAGCAAAATAAATTAAAGGGAAGTTTTTCTATTTATTTACTTGTGATTTAATTAAGTTTCTAATATTTATTATTAATAATATATGGTATATATTTATTGTAGTATGTATTATGGAATCCTAATCCTTTAGGAGAAGGATTACATAATATATATCCTATATATTTACTTACCATATATGCCACATGCCATAATTAGTTCTCTTTTGCTTGTAGGACAAGGAATAGGTGGCAAGGACTATGAAAAGATGAGTTTTCCATATAAGAAGAGTTGTGGACGTTCATGAGAAGATCTAAGGAGGATTTGGAAAGATTCACCACAAGATCTTTGAAGATTTGGAAGATCGGATATTTTTGGAAATTCAGGTTCTTACCAGATTCTGGAAGGCAAGATTTTCATTGGAAGTTCAATTCTGAAGATCTCCAAATCACATGCACGATTTATACATCAAAGAAACTTACCTTACATGAAGGATTTCGTCCAAATCAGAAAGCAATCAATTGAGAAGGAAATTGACTCCTAAAAGGAAAGGAAGAACTTGGAGAAGACTCCACCATAAGGAGTTGTATATATACCGTGCTTGAAGATCGAAGATATGTAGCTGAAATAATTATCTTCCATTCAATATTCGAGCTTCAAGCCTTTTTAGTTTTATTTTGTTCACAGTTCAGTTCAAGGGTTCTTACGCATCCAAGAACTGAAGCTGTTTAGTTTGTTTTTCTCAATTTCATTCAAACACTTTTGTGATCAGTACTTAGTGATTAAGTACAGTAGTTAGCTCGAGAAATTTGAGAGATAGAAGTCCACGGGACGTGGCCGGAGAAGTAATTTATAGGATCGTGTGTAGTTGTGGCTAGACTAGAAGGGAGTTCGAGTCGTGTAAGTCCAAACTATACAAGTGTTCAACGGTTTATCAATGAAAGAGCTCTGAGGGGAAGTGAAACGCTTTCCTGAAGAGTTTTTACATCTTCGGTTTATTGCTTCCGCTATTTATGTTATTTATCCATGTTCTTACATCGTTTTGCGCACTCGAGTTAAAAATATACGTTTCATCAACTAACATTGCCGACCTCCGAGCAGGCCCGACCGTGAGCTCTCCTCGCCAGCAGCAAGCCCGTAACACCCAGCTCCAATCCTTTCCGCTCGCAGGCAAAGGGTCCGCCATAGTCGTAGAGCTCAGACCGCCGGCTAGCCTCCACCCCCTTCACTTGCTTCCGGCAGCCATTCGAAAAAGAACGACGTCCGTTTTGCGTTCTCGAGCATCCCTCAGTCCATCTAAATTAGTCCGGCAAGCCGTTCGTGAGCAATAGCCGTCCGGCGAGTTTCGAAGTCGTTTGTTCGACCCGTTGTCAGGCCCTTTTCCCGTCCGATAACTCGTAATTTCCTGAAGACGGGTAACTCATTTGAATCCTCTCGTTATTACGGTCGTTCTCATATATCGCATGATAGATTTATATAACATACGGGCTACCGAATTCTTGTTCGAAATCGGATTCTTTTCGGTGTTTATTTATGAATTTCATGGAATGAAAACGAAAATCTTGTTGTTGTTTGATGCATTGTCTTACCTTGTTGTGAACTCGCTGTTGAACCTCTTTTGATCGACTTTATTTCTGAGTTTGGGGTGTATTTTAGATTATCAGTTCTTATGTGGCCTTGAGCATGTAAAAAGTGAGAGAGGTTTATGTGTTCTGTTTGAGCTGTGATTTTGTCCTAATTGTTGAAGCATGGAGATATGATTTATATGATGGCATGGTTTTTTACTCTGCGAATGATGAGTTATTGCTGTAAAAGATGAGCCTTTGAATGACTTAATTCAGTTAAAAATCACTTACACTCATGCTTAAATATTTAGAGCTGGTGGAAGACATCCTCCGCCGCCTCCCCGTGAAATCCCTCAAGCGCTTCCGCGCCGTGGCGCGGTCGTGGCAATCCCTGATCGACAGCGAGCCCTTCGCCAAATCCCACCTCCGCCGCTCCCTATCCACCGCCTCCAACCGCCACCTCCTCATCGGCCTCAAGAACCTCGCTGTCGATCTGGGCCATCCCGACCGCGCCGCCCCCCTCCGCCCGCCGTTCTGCTACAGAACCTCCGATGGGTTCTCCAATTCTTGCAACGGCGTGGTCCTCGTCATGTGTGACCCGCCCGTTCTGTACAACCCTTTCTCGAGGGACCACAGGGTGCTCCCCAGCTGCCCCATCGAGCACCGGGCCCCACCGGAATGCTACCCGCACACCGTATACGGGTTCGGGTACGACCCGGCTGCCGACGATTACAAGGTGGTTAGGGTTATTGAGTTCCGACACGAAGGGAGCTACGCGTGGGTATCATCGGAGGCTAGGGTTTATAGTCTCCGGTCAAATTGCTGGCGGAGGATTGAAGATTTCCCTTACCCACTCCCATTTCTTGACTGGTTCCCATTTCTTGACTGGTTCTGGCGGGTGCACGTCAGCGGATCCCTTCATACACTCGTCTTGGATCCCCATGAAAATGACGGTGGTAAAATCATGGCTTTTAGTGTCCAAACCGAGAAGCATTCTCCGATGAAGCTGCCGCCAGGTGTCCGAATGTGGGGTTCCCACGTCGATCTCTACGTTTTGGACAGCTTTCTTTCGGTGGTTCATCGTAAAAAGTATAGCAAGATTGATATTTGGGTGATGAAGGAATATGGGTTGAGTGAATCTTGGACTAAAGTGGTGGCCGTTGGCCCTCCGCCGATCGACCGGCGAGATTTTCTTAGCCCGTTGGTTTATTCGCCGGACGGCGATAAAGTCTTGTTGAGCTGCAATGATTTTAAGCTCGTTTGGTTCGATTCGAAGGAAAAGAGTGTTTGTGATGTTGATGTTCAGGGGTTGTGTAATATCCCGACTATTTATCAGTATAAATTATATTTTACTTCTTATATTATTTTTCGGAAATAATTATTTTCAGCTATTTTAGTCGAAATTACGGAAATTATTTTCGACGTACCGTTTACGTCCGGAATAATTTTGGTAATTATTATGCTTAATAAATGATTAAGCTTTAATTTGTGATTAATGGAAATTAATCACCATTAGTCATGCTAAATGCCGTGCATGGAGGACTTCCAATTCATGTGCATATGTCGTGTGCTTCATATATATATGTTATGGTGAAGTATTAGTGATTTTTGGTCCAACTCATGTGCATTGTCGTGTGTATATGTTGGTGCATTTGGTCCAAGATTCCCTCCCTCTTGTCTTAGAAGCTGTGCACCTCTATTGTCTCTTTGCTAGTCATTAGTCAAAGATTCCTTTCACCTTGTCATGTAGTGCTTTTGTCCAATTTTCCTTCTTGGTTTTGCAAAATGCCGTGCATGTGGTGTGTGCATTGGAGTGTATTGGGTCCAAGATTCTTTCCTCCCTTTGTCCTATATGCCATGTAAATTTTTAAGTGGGATATTGTCCACTAACTTCCTCCATCTTGTAGTTATTAGCGTGGCATTAGAGGGCTTAAGAAGAATTGCATGTAGGACATGTGGCCTAAGCTTTTGT